AACCAGCTGGCCACTCACTCACCGTCCAACTCTTGGTTCCGGGTCTTCCACTCCAGGTTGATGGGCATTGCCCCCTCATGGATGAGGCACTTGAAACTGGCATCTTGGCCTTGCTGCACAGTGCTGCTGGGTGGCTCGATGGAGATGACAGGGCTCCTGAGGCCTGGACAGAGGCCAAGGATCAGACACTGGGCTCAGAAGAGGTGGCTGGCTCTATCCAGGGAAGTCTTGCCTGGGGTCTAGGCCCCCTTCCCCGCTCCTGGCATCCCCCACACTTACGGTAGGAAGAACCTGCGCTGGGGGGGACTGTGATTGTGAAGGAGGCCTCATGCTCAGGGCTGGAGCCACCAGCCAAACGGCACACATACTCGCCAGAATCAGCAGGGGAAATATGGTGGAGCCGCAGCAGGGAGCCATGGGTCTGCCAGAAGGAGAGGGGAAGGAAGCCATCAGCCTAGGGCTGTGGAGATGGGGTAAGCCCCCAAGTAAGGCTGTTTCTTCAGGAGACTCAAGAGCTAGGGACCTCTGCCCCAACCACAGGGCTGGAGGAGTTTCCTACACAGGATCCCAGAAGTTCAACCCTCTCCCTTTACTGAGCAGGAAGGTGAGGCTCAAGAGCTGGTTGTGCAGCAGAACTAGGAGGGATGCCCAAGGTCTCTCAGCTCCTAGTCTGGGGAACTCTTCCTTGACAGATCTCTTGTCCTCATGCACACTGGAGTCTGTGTGAGGCTTAGGTGCAGAGGTACCTGTAGTGGGGACCTTGTCTGCCCTGGGCTTCTCCCGACCCTGATCTCATACCTGGTGCTGTGTAGGCAGGCTGCCCCCTTGCTTGTGCCATGTGACCTGGGCATGGGCCTGCCCTGGCACCACACAGTTCAGATCCAAAGTCTGCCCTTCAGCCACGTGGGAGGAGGAGGCTTCAATGTACATGGGCTGGGCCAGTCCTGGAGCTGTGGACACAGAGGTGGGGGACAGTCAAGGCTCCTGGGGTGAGGGCGGTGACCTCTGTAGTGAGCCTCTTGGAGGTGATATGGCTTGAGCAGCTGACATGGCTGAACCATATCTACCAACTTCCCTAGGCCCGAGGTATCTTGCTGAGACCCAGGGCTGAACTCCCACTGATTGAGGGATGGGATGGGGATGAAGGGAGTTCGTCCAAGGATTAGAGACCCAGAGGCAGCTAATGGGAACTTTGTCACAGTCATATCTGAGTATATCTGAGTGGGCTTGACCCTCAGCCATAGGAAACTCCAGGTCCTTACAAGTGCTGTGCCCAGTCAGGTGTGATGTGACACATGCCTGTACCTAGCAGTTGGAAGTAGAGATGGGAGTGCCATAAGTTTGAGGCCAGCCTGAGCTGTACAGAGAGTGCCAGGCCAGTGTGGGCTACCAAGTGAGATACTGTTTCAAAAAAATAAATAAAGAGCCCTGCATGGAGAAGCGAGGTTATGGAAGACCTCTACACCTCATCCATGGCTCCATGTCACTTACCAGGGATGGGGCTGGGGCTGGAGGCCTGAATGGTGACTAGGACAGATGCCTCCAGGGTCCCTGAGCTGTCAGTCACTTGGCATGAGTACTCGCCAGA